CAGTAATAAGACGCGTAGTGTTGGCTGCCGAATTAAGTCATATATGACATATTCAATTTGTACAAGCACGACAAACCTAAATTTATGCTCACGACATACGTCAAAGAATACTTAAAATTTGTTCCTACATTTTCTTATTTGCCAGAGTTTGTGAACAGCCTGCTATTTTACTGAAAGAAGGTTAGATAATAAACATCCTATAGAAGGCGGTGTGTTTTGTGCCTTATACAGAGTTGGTAAGTATGTACACAAACCAAAATTATATGAATTTAAGGATAACACAGGTATTGAGAATAATATTAACATTAAAAATAACATGAATATTAGGGATAAAATACGATTTTTTAACCAAAAATGATATCAAAAATCATTTAGAATTTCATAAAATCGGTGCAGTTTTCGGTAACAATATTTATGGCTTCAGAGATAATATTACGGAGCATGAAGGACATTGAGAACTATCTTCAACAATTTTACTATCGACTTATAGACGGTTGAATTAAAAAAAAAACTTGAAAACTTCTCAAGTTAAACTTCAATGCAAATGTAACGTCTGTCAAATTGAATATTATGACAGCACTGCACTACCCATTTTCAAAGAAATAGAGCATTGGTTCCATGATAATTCAGTAGAGTCAGTAACTAGTAAGAGTCTTATTTTTTCTTCACGTGCTGTTTACTGTTACGCAAAAATAACGTAACATAGTTAACAATTATACTTTCGTCGTGTAATATTATAATAATTTTATTCAAATATATATATATAGCGATATTCTTGTAAATAGAAAGGAAGTTAGATTTTAAAGTTTAAGAAGGGTTTTAGGATGTATTTCTTTGGGTTGAAGTTGGAACAAGGGATATTTTGAAGGACTATAGCATACCGGGTGCACCTAGTAATAAGATACTTACTTGTATCGCTTTGATTTTGGTGCCTTGTGTGTGTTAATAAAATTTGGTTTATTTCTTTTAATGCTTACGACTCTAAGCTAAATTGGCTCAGTGGATATAAAGTCTCTCCCCATTACCTTTATGTAATATGTAATTATATGTAGTTTTTTTTTTATTGAGATGTTTTTTTTTTGAAATAATCATTTGTGACCTGAGCTTTTTTTAAACATTCATTGAAATAAATAGATTTAAGCAAACTTTATAGATAAGCAAATAATTTTTGATTAAATCTCTAATCGCATGATTAATAAAGGTTATGCCGCGTTGTGATTAAAGTTGCTTAATTTTCGGGATGAACAATTTACCAACTATTCAACTTTGAATAGCCTTGGTTTAAAATAAGAATGCTATATCAATTTGGTGTCACAGTCAAATTATTACTGGCTGTGATAATTTATTAATCAAAAAATTTAATCCTTATATCGGATAAAAATCATAGCGATAGTTTCAATAAATGCATAGTAAAAATACATTTGATTTTTTTTAAATTATTTAATAAATTAGTGCAAAATTGGCTTTACAAAAAGATAAATTTCTGATTTTAAATACTCGAATAACTACTTTCTTTGCCGTGAACTTCTAATATAAGTACAGTGAACAGTAATTTAGACTCTCAATAATGAAGAATAATTTTTCATCCACTCCTCATGCCTGAACTCCAAATATTGACGTTAACCAACTAATAAACTTTGAAAAACCTAGTTTTTTTTTTGAGAATAGGCACGTACATGAGGATAATAAGCTTCGAATTCAGCTAACTCTTTTCCTACAGTTTGGACCATATCGTCATATTCATTACTAGATACATTAAGTATGGTTATTAGTTTTGGCTTTATGCCCATAAGAATAGCAGAATAATTCTCAATCCACTAAATAAATAAATAAATAATAAATAAGTAAATAAAAAGATGTAAATTATCAAAATTTTTATTAATCTACATTACCATTTTTTGAAACTTTTCACCTCCATCAAATGTTTTCTTTACTTCGCAGTGAACATCATGGAGTTGGTTATGATTTTTCATATAACCCTGTAATTTGTAACATAAATCTGGATCTAAACCACGTTCATGAGACATTGCTACAACTAAAAAAAAAAAAGTATGCAAAATTAGAATGTTATAATGCTATTATGACAAACAAATTAATATAATAATATGATCCTTACTGGCATTAATAATCCTTGTTGCTACGGGCCCCATGACGGTATATCGAAAGTCAAGTTCTTGCAACTATAAAATTATAATTAATCAGTTTAGATAATTAACAAATTTTATTACACTTAATAATATAAATAAATAATTCCAACCTCTAAATAACCACCAGGTTTTAATACGCGAACTAACTCATTAACCACTGACGGCCATTTCACTGCGGGAACTCCAACATATAACAGTCGTTGAAATACATAGTCAAATGTATTATCCTCAAATGGCAAACGTTCAAATACGTTTCCTTCAAGAAATTCAGCATTTTTAGGTATATTATTGCTTGGAGGGGGTGAAATATCAACTCCAGTAAACTTTGCTTTAGGATAATCGGCTGCCATATCGATTACCCATGAACCAGAACCCGTTCTGAGTAATTGTTATAATATTTTAGTAAAAATTTCGTGAGAAATGAATAAAACAAATTTGTTATTTCCAAAATTTAATGCTTTATATTTTATTTGATGTTAAACACAATGTTATAAAATGACGCTCACCCTACATCGAGAACTTTTGTTCCTTCTTGATCCAGGAGAAGTTTAACCGGAGCGGAAAAGTTGCCTTGCCAAATAGTTTTCATTATGGAATGCTGTAAATTTAATCTATTATACTCTTTGTCATCATTAGGTAAAAAATACGTTTGATTCTCTGCGGTATATCTTCTACCATCTTCGAAATAAGATTCAAGAGTACTCTCATTCGACAAATTATTTCTTGTTGCCTCTGATCTATCATTATTATGATGTGATTGATCCCTTTGGATTCTACTGTTTTGAAGTTCCATTTTGATTCATTTTATCTATAAAGCAACAACCGTCAGTTTTTATAGTTTTAGCACTAATGGTATGTAGTATAATGTAATACTGTAGTTCAGAATAAATATTAAAGTAGAATAGGTCATTTGCTAGGAAAATCACTGTTCGCCACTTGCTTACAAACAGTGATTTCCCTAGCAAATGAACCAAATGGTTAGTACGTACAATGTACCGTAAATAGTGACACGTTTTATATCAACTCATATTTGTCATAGTTTAGAAACATATTAAAGCCAAGTAGTATTTGATGTGATTTATAAGTTGTCATTAATAATTGAAATTAAAAGGTACTCGGATACGTACGTACGTAAGTACTTACATGGCTTTAACACATAATTATATTGTATGGTAGCATAAATTAGGATGTATTAATAATATACGGTAACGTATATTTCACTTAATAGAAGATTACTTTACAGACATCTTATTCACAAAAAGTTAATTCACAAACATGCTTATCTTACAGAAAATCAATTTACAGTTTCATAGGCAATTTATTTCATTGATAACCAATTTCATAAATATTTTGCCGACAGCGAAAAAGTAATTATAGTAATTACTGTTAAAAAACTAGAATTATGTTTTTTTAGTGCAGGTTATTAAAAAAAAACTTGCATATGTAATGAGCTGTTTGGTGAAATAAATAGTTTATGAAATGAAATGGACTTGTTTGTGAATTGATGTTTGTAAAATAAACATGTCGATGGATTAATTGTCATTGAAATAAGGTGTTTATGAAGTGATTGTCGGTGAGGTAATACAAATGATGCAATTGTACTATTGAATTTAATAAATTATAGTGTGTGAAATTTGTAAATTATTAAACATATGAGGATGATTCAGAATTAATATCAGATTTTTGATTTCAAATAAAATTAGTTTCGAAATAAACGATCTGTAAATCCTATCTTTTTTGAAAACATTCCTATTTCATTTCAAATCAAGACTTCATATAACGATCTGCACGGCCTAATAAATAAAGGAATTTGTGGATCATCTAGCCAAATTTAAACAAGATCTAATCAGATGATCAATTTTGACCAGAAGAATTCATTTTCTTGCAGTATGAAATTTCAACATCATCCGATTTCAGTTTCATCCCCGACATTGAAATACCGATTTTCCTGTTACTAACCGTTTTTTAAGGAAAAAATAAAAAAGGTGAAAAAGGAGATCTAATATATTAGGAAAAATGAATTGTCTAATATAAAAGTATACAGTTGTTAAAATATGGGTGCCGCCAAGAGAAAACCAGGAATTCTAAAAATAGACTTCCATCCACAGCGAAGTTGCGGGGTTTTTT